AAATATTTGAGAGCAGGTAAAAAAATATATATATAGATTCTAAAAACAATTATTTTAGTTTTTGTATGATAAGTATATATTATAGTAATATTTGCAAAGTGTAATAAAAAATTGCATTTTTTATAGAAAATATCAATTTTGAATATGCGCATTGGTGAAAAATTTTTATAAATGTTAATACAGTAGTAACTGTACCTTAATTTGAACGTACTTTTTAATTTTTTTCTACGCTTACGCTACGTGATCTATGTATTTGGCTATAGTGGATTGTTTTTTAATATTTTTTGTATTTAAACACTTTTTTATTAGGATAGTGATGAAAAAATTACTGCAGTAAAATGGATGTAGTAATTTTAAATTATTAATTTGATAACATAATATAAGCGATTTCGAAAAGTAAAGTTTTACCATCCATGATTTTTTTTTATCTTCTGGAATTTATGTTTTTTTTTTTTTACAGACGATAAGTTTTAAACTCCACAATCATTTTGCCGCGATTAAAGTCGCTGTTTTGTAGAGGGGGAGAACTTTTTTAATTCTTTTCGTACAAAATTCAACGAAATACGATACGTAAATAAACAATAAATTAATATAATAAAATATATGTCATTGCAGAAATTGCTATTAGATCATAATTAAGTACGTATATAATTATTTAATAATAAGAACATATTTTTGACTAGCAGTTTATTTAATGAATTCCTTTTCTTGTTTAAATAATTAAAAAAATATAATAATAATAATAATAATAATAATATTTATTTGCTTTAAACATGGTATACAGTGATGTTATAATTATATTTGAGAGTGCACATGTCTTGCTAAAATCATATAGCATGCAAATTAAGTTTCCCATTATCAATCATCGTTAGATATACAAAATTTTTGTTAATACTAAATGTCAAAAACTTCTACCAAGATAATCTTTTACGTCATAATAATTCTGTTCCTTTAACCAGTTATATAATCTTTTCCCAAATAAAGTGACATTCAAATCTTTAAATTCATTTGGAATTTTATTATATATATGAACGCACATAGTAAGGCAGTTTCTTTTATATTTGTCTGATCTTGGTATTTCGGTAAGTACAAGTCTGTCCGGATCTCTTTTTAATCTATAGTTCATATCACTTGCTTTTTTAAACAATGTTCTATGTTTAATTACAAAATTACAAATTTCATAGATATACATTGATGGTAGAAACCAAGGCTCTTAAATAATGGTTTGCATGATACACCAGGCGGAAAGCCACATATAGCCCTAATGCACTTTTTTTGGGCAATAAATGCTCTTTTTATCTCTACACTATTACCCCACATTATCAGTCCATAGCGTAGAATTGATTCTATATATGCGCGATACGTAGTGATAGCAGTTTTGGTATTCGTCACTTTTCTTAACTTTTTAAGTGCATATACAAATTTATTTATTCGAGTGCATATGTTGTCTATATGTAATTTCCAGTTTAAGTCTTGGTCAATAATTATGCCTAAGAATTTAATTTGTGTTGCCTATTTAATTTTAGTTATGTTTAGTTTGAAATTTTTTGATTTATTGAATTGAATATAATTCGATATTATTTATTTTTAAATATTACACTCTAACCATTTTATAATGCTGTCAATTGTATTATTTATATCTGTTTCATGATTATGGATTGAATTGTCAGATTTTTTATTAGATGTCACAATTATGGTGATATCATCTGCGAATAATATACATTTATGTTTTGTCACTTTAATCAAGTCATTTATATATAACAAAAACAAAATTGGTCCTAATACACTTCCTTGAGGGACTCCACATTTGTTCTCTCTGTAATTTGATGTGTAAGACTTTAAGTCATTTTTACTAATTTCTTCCAAGAGTACACATTGACTTCGGTGGGTTAGATATGAGGTTATCCAGTTTAGCGCAGTTCCTCTTATTCCTAGTACATCTAGTTTTTGCAATAAATGATTATGGTCAACAAAGTCAAACGCTTTTATATATATACGCTATATAAATATCTGATGAATATTATTAAAGTTTGCTTAGAAAACTATTAAACAATATTATAAAATTGTGGGGTATTGACAGGTAGAATTTTATAGACACAAATGACATTAGCTGTCATTCAATTTGACATTTGGAACAATAATGACCTCGGCCTTATGTCAAATAAGTTTGATTGATTGATATGTATAATTCGTAAAACAAAATACATCTCTCTTCCTCTTTTTTTATAGAATCTCCATTTACTACAACTTATTGGTTATTTTTTCTTTTTAAAATAAAAAAAAAAACTGTCCTACTTCTCTTGTTAAAGCATACACAACAACATTTACAAAAGTCTGTTACAATTTAACTTAACTTTTAATCTTACATGATTATATCTTTATAAACTTTTACAATTACAATATCGTCAAGATGTCAAAGTTGTACGTTACTTAATAAAAGAACAATTAAGCATAAAATAGTTGCAAATGTAATAAAATAGATAGATACTCTTTATTGTTTTCTCTATAAGATTACAATAGTAAATTTGTTATAAATAAAACAATTACAAGAAATTATTACACTAAGAAAACAATGGGCAGCCTTATCGCTAAGAGAGATCTCTTTCAGACAACCTAATACTACATATATACTCTAAACGGTTGGAAGTTAAACTATAACCTAGACATAATTATAAGGTAATTTTTATCCCAACCCATTTGGACAAAGTTGTTCATAAAATAATTTATTTTGATTTAAATGCTAAACTAATGAAATTTTTTATAAAGTTTCTATAAACCCAAACTGAAAGTATGTTCTTTCAGATAAAATAGAAATTTTCAAATCGTTTTATAACAACTGATATTGATATAAGGTAACAAACATAAATACAACTAAATTGTTAACCTCCCCTTTTTTTGAAGTCAGATAAAAAATAGACCAGTTCACTTAATTAAAAAATGCTAGCGAATTAAAATGGATCTGAACGAGGCATCGCAAGCGTGGTGATCAAAGGTACCCAATAAACAATGAGCTCGCGTTTCATAAAGTAAATCACCCTTGAAACAAAGGAGGTCTCATAGATGCGATATCGAAGTACTGTTTACTTGTATATTGTAAGGCCTTTGAAATTATAAGGTTCTAACTCGTTCCGGCTGGTTTTATTATTTGAATTATATATATAATTACTTATTAATTTTATTGGATAATTTTCATTTAAATAATAGATGTACGGATTAATAATATTTTTATTAATGACTACTTCTGATGAAATAAATAGGTAAAGAATTCATAATAATTACACGAATAATAATCATCGTATTAGCTCTTATCTGTCCCCCATAGATTGCCATAAGTGATAACATAAGTCCTGAGCCACCTGCATTGATTCAGACATTATAAAAAAGCATATTCTTTTTTTTAAAAAAGGCCGACAGCACCCTTGCATTTCTCCCAGTATTGCGGGTGCTCACAGGCGGCGGTAGTCACTTACCATCAGGTGAGGCGCCCTGTGTTGTTAAAAAAAGTACCTAAAGAAGCATCAAACTATTTTCTAATTTAATTTACTGAAATACGGAAAATAAAATACTAGGTGGCTTGCCGTTTAGGGGCTTCAAAGATATAGCCTGGAATAGAGCTGGCTGGAAGAGAATAAATGAAATAGTTGCCCCGAAAAAAGGAAACTTTTAAATAAAAAAAAATAAAAAACTGATATACGATTTTTATATTTTTTAATAATTTAAATATTTTGTCAAATAAATATCCATAGTTTTTACAAAGCGTTCAACTAGTACGTTAGTTAAGTTCTATCCAATAACTAGAAAAAAAAAACTCATGAATTTACGGGTGTATCCATGAGTTTTTTGCTCAGAAAAATAGTGGCTTTATTCATTATAATATTAACATAAATAAATTCTATCGATTTCAAATTTAAATCAATTCCAAATTTAAATCAATTCCAAATTTAAAGAATCCGCGAGGATATCGTTTAAAATATACAAATAAAAACATTCTAATATTTATACTTAGAAATATTTCATTATATTTTTTTTTTTTTAATTTCCTTTATTTGCCGACCTACTTCTTCGACAATTTAATACGTTACTCTAAGGTTGTCTCGAAGAGATTGCCTTCACCATCGCCTTATTAAGCCTTATAAGACAGCCTTATTGTACTTATACAAGAGTCTCTATTGTGTCTATTGTTTGTGCTCCTTTATTCTCTTCGTTGCATTATGCAAATAAAGCGAACCCATTTATTCTTTCATTAAAAAATACGGACGAATCGAAAACTGTATCTTTTACAAGTTACTTAAAATATCTACATTCATTGAGCAATGAAATATGAATGTGATTAGAAAATTTTGGAAATTGATCTCAAAGTCATTATGTTACAAGTAATAAAACCATTATTTTGTAATTTTTTCATTTTAATTTACTGTTTTTTTTTTAAATAACATTCGTTTTTGTTTTTTTTTTCAGTATTTTTTTCTTAGTTTAAAATTTTTTTCGTGTTCAAAACAATCTGTCAATTTATTTAAAATAGAAATAATAGAAGTGATTGTATTTAGGTATGTAATTTATTAAATGTATGATATTCATACAACGAACTGTGCTCAGAAGAATTGTTCAACATGATACCCACGGCCACTTTCTACGATCGTACGGCTCGCCATCGACAGGGATTTCACCCCCATATCTTAGAGCCTAAATGGTCGTGTACAACGTGGTTTCAGAGATGTTTCCTCCCACGAACGCTCAGGTTATTGAATGGGCATGAGGTTCTTCAAAGAAGGGGTAAAGAGGTTTAGTTTAGTTTATAGGGTTGGCAAGGCGCACGTAATGCCCCTGGCATTGCAGGCGTTCATAGGCTACGGTAAGCCGCAACAGGTGGGTTGTATGCTTGTTTGCTACCTCAGTCGTGTAAAAAGAATTAAAATTAACTCTAAAATATGAATAATAGAAAATCCTAATAATAAATATTTATCTTCATTAATTGTGCTACAACTATCATAGTAAATTACCTCCTCTATTTTCGCTGTCCGCTGGTTTCACCTGTATTGCTCGGTTCATCTGGAAAGAAGAAAAATGAAGTTAGATATATTTTTTGTTATAAAGTTTGCATTATATGAGAATTTTTAGCGTGTTAATAGTTATTCAAGTTATTCAGCGTGCTATGGAGAGGGCTATGCTCGGAGTTACTTTGCGTGACAGAATCCAAAATGCGGATATCCGCAAAAGAATCATAGAGACCGATATAACTTCTGTAATTCTATAATATTATAACTAGATTCGTTATATTTCCTTGTATGCGCCGTGTATATATTATATATTTATTTTGTTATAATAAATAATTTAATAAATAATAAGTCTTGGATAATTTAGTGCAATATAAGTTTTTGTATTTTAAGCACGTAAAAATATTAATTCACTCTTGCACCACCTACCTACTTCTATCTGTTCTCTTTTAACTAAAGGTTACCTGTAAGAGATTGCCCTAGCGATAAGACCGCTTTTTGTACCTTTAAGTATATATTTTAATCTGTAATTTATGCTACTTAATTTCACTTGAATTGTGTAATTGTCATTGTACATATATTTTTATGTTTCTAGTACAATAAAAAGTTAAATAAACCAATAAAAAATTCGAAGAATAAGCAACCTAATATGATATAATATAGATATCATAGAATCTTAGATTATATAGATAGAGTGTCTCCATACAAATGCTTCGAAAAAAGCAGGTCAACATTTTCATAAAATTTTGATATATAATAATAACTATAAATATCACTTATAACTGAGTGATTCGTTTATAATTTCTATATTTATTTTATCTTATAATTTCTGCATTTTTTTTAATACGTGAATACTCATTTTATCTATTAAATAATACGTCAAGATACATTGTATAAAAAATCGAGTTAGCTAATTTGATAATTATATTATTATTATTAATAATAATAATATATTTTAATTATTATAATTATTAATTCACTCTTGCGCCACCTGCCCATTTCTATCTGTTCTCCTTTAACCAAAGGTTGTCTGTAAGAGATTGCCCTAGCGATAAGACCGCCTTTTGTACCTTTATATGTATATTTCAATCTGTATTTACGTTACTGTATTTCACTTAAATTATTAACTTGTTATTGTATATTTTTATTTATGGTGTATAAAAGAGTTAAATAAATAAATATATAATAAATAGCAGACAAAAATTTGACCTGTTTTTGAGGAAATTTGAATATACTGCGCCCATAGTTTTGTGTTTATATTCCAAAGAACTAAGGTATTATGCCTCCGTACCAACAAATTCATATCCTATCCTTCAAATTGAAACAACCGGTATAGAGTATTGAGTATGAAATACAGAGTACCAAATACTGATACAAGTATGGCTTCGCGGCAGACACAGGAGTGAGACATAGGTACTCAAAGACTGACTTTTATGCAAAGTATTTCTAAGTATTTCCCTTTCTTGTAAAACAAAATTGTTTTATAAATAAATATTAAATTGTTTTACTTGTATTATTAGGACTATACTGTTTTTTTTTTTTTAATGAGTGAAGATGGAATGGTAGACCCGCCTGTGTTATCGGTATACGCTGGCGGGGTACTAGTGAAGGGTGACAGGTGAGGATGAAGGCAGGTCAATTAGTCCATCAAGATTAATTCTACTATTATTTAGAATTAATCATGATAGTTTTCAGGGGGAACCGTGTGGAGGTCGACTTGATAGAGTGTATTGCTAGTAATGGGAAAATTAGACCCTATTACTAACCCCCCCCCTCCACCCCCGACTAAGTACGCTATACCAACATCAATTGTCTGATTGACAATGGGAATTTACATAAATTCCATTTCGGCCGACGCTTACTTTATGGAAGCCTAATAACAGTTAATTTTCGCGCGTTAATTTATTCTAAAATAAACGATTCCGTTGACGAGTTTGCATAATTAACTGGATGCTGCGTGAATGCAGGTTTGGATTTCCGCTGTATACGGCTTCGTCGGTGATGTCCATTGAGGTTTACTCGACTGGCGGTTAAGAGAGGAGGGTACTGTTATTGGTATTGTAAGTCGGTCTGCTTGATGAAAAGTGGTACCTAACAGTTATCAAAACGAACGAAACGTAGACACTATGGAATTATACTGTGATGCCTATAATACCCTTCATACGTTGTCAGTCCTGAGAACTATGATGTTATAAATAATTAAAAAATTTAAAATAAGAAGAAAATTATTCGCTTATTTATTTCATTATATTTATTTTTTATTTATAGAAATAGCGAGCTTCGAGAATATACTGTACAGAGGAATAACATCTGAGTCCTTAGGAATAGCAACGCATGGGGGTATCATGGGCGAAACAGTATACTCTGTTATGTCCATGTTACTGCTCATGTCTATAGGCGACGGTTACCATTTTCCATCAGGTGGGCCGTCAGCTTGTTTGCCATTCTAAGTTGTATAAAAAAAATGTAATACGATATTCATTTTGTTTAATTACTTTATTTATATATACGGTATATTTATACATAAATAAAGTATTTAAACAAAACTTGGCTTCCTTTTCAACCGTCCCTTCATCAAGCTGTCTCGTAATCATCAACCAAATCCTCGTGGTTGATTCTTGTTGAATTCGCCACGAAGGAGGAAGGCTAACTGACCTGGTCGGGGTGAAAGAGATTGTTAGTAATGGGGTCAAATATCCCCATTACTAGCAATATACCCTGTCAGGTCGACCTCCACGTGGTTCCCCCTGGAAACCATCGTGGTAAATGCTAGTTGTATTTGTCAGGATGAGCTTACTGATCTGCTATCATCCACGCCTGTCATCTTTCACTGGTGCCCCGCCAGCGTATACCGATAGCGCAGGCGGGGTTACTATTCCGAGTTCACCCATTAAAAGCAGTACATTGAATACTCGGGAGATCATTCGATCGTAATAAATTGTCGTTTAATTCAATTCTGTTTTGTTACTATTAATTCGTGTCGACGCTCGTACAGTGACCACGTAATAATTGCCAACTGGAAGTAATTAGAAAGTGTCTGTTTGCGATGAATAAAACAATGATATAATGGTAGGTGTTGCGGGTGAATCGAGACGACGAGATCGGTAAATATATGTATATAAACCGTGAAGCAGTTGTGTTTGCATGGCTGTGTTTCGGTTTGAAAGGTGGGATATGGCGTGAATTTACAGGGTACAGAGGAATAACACCTGAGTCCTCAGGAATGGCAACGCATGGGGAGTATCATGGGCGAAACAGTATCCTCTGTTATGTCCATGGTACTGCTCATGTCTATAGGCGACGGTTACCACTTTCCATCAGGTGGGCCGTCAGGTTGTTTGCCATTCTAAGTTGTATAAAAAAATACATATATATATATATATATATATATATATATATATATATATATATATATATATATATATATATATATATATATATATATATATATATATATATATATATATATATATATATTTTTGGTTTTTGGTGAGTGCATTGGTAAATCTGTAAAGTTCACCGAAATTACGTATATATATATTATATAGAAATAAATAAATTGTCGAAGAGAAGGGATTTGATACTTTCTTTGCAATAAATAAGCTCAAAAATATTATATTTAGGTATATCGTATATAAAATATACTCATTCATTTATATATTAGGTGCATTAAAAAAAAATTCACGTATAGAATGTGATATATTATATATTTAATAAAACCACAAGAAGTCAAGGATGGTGTATATTATGTTTCATAAGAAAGCGCCATTTCTTTAACTATTTAAATTATTAACGGCCATGTAGTTTTAGACATAGTACATTTAAATAAATACATGTTAACAGAGATTTAAAAGATTAACTGTTAAGTTTGGGGGGGAAAGGGATTGTTAGTAATGGAGACTGAAATTCCCATTGCTAGCAATATACCCAACCAGGTCGACCTCCTCGCAGTTTCCCCTGGAAACTATCATGGTTAATTTAGCATGATGAGTTAACTGGTTTGTTTTCATTCTCATCTATCACCCTTCACTGGTGCTCTGTAAGCGTATCCCGTTAGCGCAGGCGGGGTTACCATACCATTTTCACCCATCAAATAAAAAAAAAAGTGTGTTTATTCTGTGATATCCGAAACCACTTTTTATTAGAAGAGCCATCAGATCGTTTGCTATTCAAAATTGTACTTATACAATTTTTCTTAAAAAAAAGATGAATTTATCGGTTAATTTATGAATCATACTAAATAACAATTCGGTTATTACGTCAATTTCTATTTGTGTAACATTATTACAATTATAAATAAGGAATATGTGCGAACGGGCCGTAACAAAATCCAATGTGGCGCGTCATCATAAATTCAAAATGGCGGCTGGAGGCGCGCGTAACATCTAGCTCATAATATTCGCGTAACATTCCACCCGGAGTATCGTCTAATTTTTGGGGCATTCACTTTCCTTTTTCACAAATTTAACAACACCAAAGCGCGGGGAATCTCTCGAGCGGATATCACGGGTAGCAGTTGACACCCGAGTTCGTTTATTTACATTCGAGAGATTTGTCGGACACAGTTTACCGTCGCTTCACAGAGGTGAAATTTAAATTGAATTCATAAAATGTACCACGGTGGAGTGCTAAATGATTTTCCTTAAGTAGTTGTAAAGGTTGAAGGGGATGTTATAAAAATATCTGAAATTTCCGCTTGTAAATTTTCGTGTAATGCAAAAAATAATTGGCAGTGAAGAATTTTTAAAGGTACGCCGCCGTGCCCTTCGTGCTTCGTAGCGGTCGGACAGCACTAAAAGCCATTTCGTCTCGATGAGGAGAGGAGAATTAATGAAAGATTTTATTATGAGTTACAGTTCTATTTCATCTATAACCTCGTTGAATTAATTAGTAGATCAGTCGAGTAATTTATATCTAGATTATCTATTTTTTTTTTTATTTAGGATCTCTTTACACCGGTATATAGATATACTGTTTTAATCTGCAATAAGATTTTAGTCGACACACAAAATTAACTTGGATTGTGGGAAAATTTGTTATTTTGATTTAAAAACT